AAAATCTGTTCACAAATGTCCAGGTAATTTTTGTTAAACATTACTACCAGTGATGTCATAAATGAAAATGTGTGCACAAAATCCGAGGTATAAAACCTAAAACAGTATAGAATTTAATACTATTTTCGTCAGTTTTTTCGCCAAAATTAATCGAAACATAATTTTTTCTCTAAAACTCTTAACAAAAAATACAAAATACACGCAAAAATGTATTTGAAATTCCTATTACTGGGGCTGACTGTCCACCTGATTGTGGCACAGGATCTGAAACTGTTGGAGAATTTAGACGAGAAGATCGAGGCCTGGAAGAACCAGACGGCTAACACACAACAGGTCAAGAGTTGGGGCACCTGTAGCTGTAAGCCCATCATCAATCTCATTGAGATCGTGATCCGAGTGCTCATCAGCCTATTGAAGGCCGTGTGTCAACTGGTCGACCAGCTATTATCGATGCTCAGCGCCACCGACCCGCTCAGGGAAGTGTTGGATGTGCTCAAGACTAACGGCATCCTCGGAGTCGTCAACATTCTGTTGAATTTGTTGATTCAGATCTGGTAGTCGTGGTCTCGATAATGATTTTCATGTTTTTGTCTTTTGTCTTTAAGTGTATTGTATTTTGTTGTCATTATTTTGTCAATTAATTTAATTTACTAATAAAAATAATATTTATTTTGTAAAGTATGCCAAATTGTTTTATTTGTAATCTGATAATAAATTCCTAATGTTTTCTAAATAGATATTGAAATTCTTAATGAATTAATCAAGAGAGAAATAATCATTTTTGAAAGTATTAAAAGTATTGTCATATATTTGAAGCATACGAAGCATGTTAATTTTATGTAAATTAAGCAAATAACAATGTTAATCATGTTAACCAGGACAATTACCTAATTATTCACTAATTGTTCAACAGAATATTCCACAAAAAATTCCTAAAATTCAATGTTTTCAGTGAAATAGTTATACAAATAGTGGTAAATTATATATTTTTTTATGGAAAAGTATTTACTATCAAAAAGTAAACTATAAAAGGAATCACTGATGAAATTGTTTTGTTATTTCAGATTGTGAGCGCAAAATGTATTTCAATAGTTTAATGAACTTATAATTAGCGGTGTTTTGAGCGTAGGGTAAGTTACACCACATTTGTAAACTAAATTCTCGTATAAAATGTGTTCACTATTTCCCATAGATTTTAATTACAGGTATAAAAGCGATAATCTATTAAAAATAGGTACCATAGTCAGTCAGTTAGCAATAGTAGTTAGTAGTTAGCAAGTTCATTTCAAAACACAATTAAAACAAAAAACACCACAAGAAATGTGTCTAAAACTACTCGTATTAGGACTACTGTTGACGACAGTCGTGGCCAAGAATTACCAAATTCTGGATAATCTCGAGAAGAAGATCGACCTCTGGAAGCAGGAACTGGAGGACAGGTCGGGCACTGAGGCGGCCGAGACGGAGACCAAGTACTCGACCGGCCAGTGCCCGTCCGCTGTACTCATAAACATAATTTGGGGCATAATCTACGTGTCGGAGACCCTGTTGAAGTTCATCTGCGAAGTGGTGAAGAAGTTGTTGGAAAACACGCAGAACGAGAAGTTGAAGATTATGTTGGGTTCGTTGCAATGCGACAAATCTCTGGTCACCGCCGTTCTGGCGCTCCTCGACCTCATCATGAAGACCCTGTCCACGTCGTTGGGCACCGGTTCCTATCTGCAGTAGTCAAGCCGTGTGTGTGACTGTTGTTTGTTGTGTCGCCCCTTAACCTCATGTTTATTGTAGTCGTGTTTTCAATGTATTTATAGTTGATTTTTGTTTGTGTTTTATTTAAACGAATAAATTATTTAAGTTTTATACAGAGATTTCTGAATATAATAATAATTCAATAGGTAATCAACAATCAACAGGGTAGAGTAAATTTCAAAACACTTGGGTAATACAATTTGTTTGTAACAAATAATTAGAGTATAAGGTATAATGATTTTGTAAATCAGAAACTTAAATATATAATAAGTAATAAGTAGCTATTGAAGACTATCATCGGAAATGTATCCCAAAGCGACAGCACCATCACTGGTGTCCTCATCGGTAGGAATAGCCGGATAGCCATTCAAATTGATTTCATTGTTCGCATTTAAATTACAAAATTTCTATTAAAAACAAACAAAAAAACACAAAATTAATTTCAACTCAATTATGGATAACTCGTAATAAACCCTTCACACTGACTGATTTGAATGGTTGATGGCATTGTCCACTATTTGACGGCCAGTGATAGCCATTGCGTTTGGAGAGATCGGCCGCCAGTTCCTCGATACTCACATTCTGACCCGTATTGGGGTCCGTAATGGTGAGCAATGATTGGCATTGTTTGGGCTATAATTAAAACAAACGGTTGTGAAGAAGTGTGCAAATCTGTGGTCGGGAAGTGACTGAACTGCAGAGCGAGCGTAGGAGGAGGTGGCGGCCGGCGGTGATAAGGGCACCGGTAGTAGCGCTGGTCGCGGCGATAGGTGTGAGTAGCCTATGGGGTGCGAGAAAACAAAGTATAAGTCCAATGATTTAACAAACCAATGAATACCCGGCGGAGTGGGCGGTCCGGTGGGCGTACAGCAGCCAGTGGACGAGCAACAGCCGGCGCTATGAGGGCTGCCCAGGGGTTGGACGGATGACTGATAGCAGACTGGCACGAATGGATTGGCCGTAACGGACAGGACGTAGCCATTAGTGTCTCGTATACGGGGTT